ATGTTTGAGCAATGCCAACTGTTTTCCCACTATGAGGGAGTTCTGAGTTAAACCTGTGTCATATACTGTAGTACTTTCTAGTATTTCAATTCCTTTATTGTTTCCAAAAAAGCTGACAGCGTACTACTAGATTTATTTCATTAGCCAACTACCTTCTCAAAATCTCTGCATTGCAGAATTTATAAGAGATACTAGAGACTTATCCTTGCCTGATTTTACTAGATTTTCAACAGTAAAGTGATCCTGGGATTAATCCTGTGCTCACTCTTTAACAGTGCAAAGGGAAACCTCTTCCTTTTTTGACCTCATCCATAGCCCCATGTTTTTATTCCCTTCTGTCATTATCTCATGGCATGCACTTGATAACTATATTAGTTTGGATACCATAAAAAATTACCACAAATTGGGTCAATTAAGGCGACAGGTATTTATTATCTCAAAACTCTGGAGGCCAGAAGCTTGAATTCAAGGTGTGAGCAAGTCTGCCTTGCCTCTGAAGACAATAGGGGAGAAAACATTCTTTATCAGCTTTTGTTACTTCCAGGCAGTTATCTGCATGTGGCTGCATCTGTCTAATCTCTACCGCCATGGTTATAGTTCCGCCTCCTTTACTCTCTAATACCCCTCTGCATCACCCTTTAAAGATACTTGACATTGGATTCATTGGATTTATGGCTTATCTGGATTATCCAGGATGATTACCTCATATCAAACTTACTCTTCTTTTTTTTTTATATAGGATGCCAGTGTTGCAGGCAGCAGCTTCACCCACTACACCACAACACTGGCTCAGAAAGCTATATCTTTTATCTTTTTATTTGAGTTACAGAGAGGAGTAAAACACAGAGAGATAGAGATCTTCCATCCATTGGTTCACTCTTCAAATGGTTGCAACGGCAAGTGTTGGGGCCTGGTCGAAGCCAGGAGCCAAGAGTCTCAACACGGTCTCCCTTGTACGTGGCAAGGGCTCAACTATACAGGCCTTCTTCCTCTGCTTTTTCCAGGCCATTAGCAGGGAGCTGGATCAGAGTGGAGCAGCCAGGACATTAACTGGAGCCCAGATGAGATGCTGGTGTCATAGATGGTGGCTTAACCTGCCACCACCTATGCCACAATGCCGGCTCCTCAAGCTTTTTAACTACACCTTCAAAAACCATTTTTTTTTCCAAATAAGGTAACATTTACAGTGTTCAGGGATTAAGATGTAGACTCACAAGTATATTTTCAGGGATTACCTCTCAATACATTACAGGAGATTTCCTTCATAGTGGATGACTGTCAGGGTGTTGTATTTGCGAACTTGGTATGACTTTTTATACAATCCAGTTTAACAATCCTACAGGCAGCTCTAATGAATGTCACTATGGAAAATGACTGTTCTCACTTTTTTTAGTCTGTATGAAAGCTGGAGGAATAAGATGTAAGGGGGGAGCTCATTTACACATGATATATATTATGTCCATTTTAAAAGATAAACTTATTTTAAACTGTAGTTGATATGTCTACCTTTCTTTCTACTTACTGACCAAGTTTGCAAATTTCTCTCATAATTCATTTCCTGAATTTGTAGGCTTCCATATCTGCTGGCTTACACTCAGCCCCTTTTCAGCCTACATAGGAGTGGAGTGAGAGCCTGAATATACAAATAATGACCAATTTTTTTACAGAGAGCTGCCAGGTGTATTCTATTTAACCATGTAACCTTGCTTTCCCCCCAGTCTCAGTGACTGGGAAATCTCAGATTCTGTCCCATCCATTCTGATGGATGCCCTATCCCCAGTAAATCTTGCTACTAAGAAAGAAAGAAAGAAAGAAAGAAAGAAAGAAAGAAAGAAAGAAAGAGAGAGAAAGAAAGAGAAAGAAAGAGAGAAAGAGAAGGAAAGAGAAAGAAAAAGAAAGAAAGGAAGAAAAGAAATAGAAAGAAAGAAAAAAAGAAAGAGAAGGAAAAAAGAAAGAAAAAGAAAGGAAGGAAGAAAAGAAAGAAAAAAGAGAAAGAAAGGAAGAAAAGGAAGAAAAGGAAGAAAAGAAAGAAAAGAAAGAAAAGGAAGAAAAGAAAGAAAAGAAAGAAAAGAAAGAAAAGAAAGAAAGAAAGAAAGAAAGAAAGAACCCATAATCTGCAAAAACCAACCTGGGAAAGCAAACCAAAATCTCTGCAGCAAACCATTCAGGAGGTCAAACCACAGTCTGTAAAGCAATGATACCAAACAGCCAGGACTTGATTAATCATCTCTAATTTTATGAAGTTTTCCCACTCTTTTCCCTGTCTTTGACTTTCTGCAAAATGCAACTGGTGATGGCTGGCTGGTTCTTATGTTATAGCTTGCTCTGAATAAACAGTCTCTGATTGTTCTCATTTGAGTGGTCTTCATTTATTTCCTTAGGAGGCATTGGAAAGTTTGTTTGCTAGAGTAATCGTTGTAATGGGTGTGCAGGGTTCTGCAAGGCTGCCTTCAATTCTATCATCCTAGACTCTCACTAGGCACTGCAGCTTTGAGGCTGTGTTGCAGTGAAGGGATGCCAGACTTCTCTGGCTTGACTATGGAAATAAGGGCAAGCAGTCTTACTGCTCTCTGGTCCCCTTAAAACCAGCTGGGATTATCAAGGACTGTATTGCCCTATCTCTCCAAGGGTTTTGATCATAAGAGAGGACAAGCTGTGGGAGTTTTGTGTGTGTGGGTGTGTGTGTGTGTGCACGCGCCTATACTACTGACTCACTTTGTTGCTGCTTTCTCTCCTTTCAGATCCTCCTACCTTGTCTAGTAAGGGCCTTTTCTTTCGTTTCTAAAATGGATTTGAATCCTGACTTTATCATTTATTGGCTTTGTATTCTGGTGCACATTACTGTTATTTGGCAGCCCATTTTCCTTATTCATTGAATGGGAATGGGAATGGGAATGATAACAAATAAACCCTACCTCATAGGGTTGTAAAGATTAAATTAGGTAAATTCATGAAAAGTACTTTAGAACTGTGCCTGTCACATAGTGAATGTCTGAGAAATGTTGGCTTTTATCATTTTCAATGGAGGCCACAGTTATAATGTGCTACTAGTGTTGTGATAGAATTAGCTCATGGGTACTATCTGGACCATAAAGAAAAATGAAGTCACACTCTATTAGGGAGGATATTGCAAAAGGCATCATAAGGGAGAGATACTTGAAGGATCTGTGATTACTTTTCAAAAAAAATAGTAGGCAGATACAGGACTCCAAGTGAGTGTAAAATGCAAGAAAATGTACATCTGACGAACTTATGAAGCTTCAAAGAGTTAATAGGTTAATGAGGGGGAAAGGTGGATGTAACAGAGTTAAGGAAAGAAGGATCTGCAGATCTCTGTTTCAAAGAACAAGTATGGGGTTTAGAGTTTAGCAGATTAATCAATATATTTAAAAAATTACTGTGCTTGAGAACCACCTGGAGCTACTAAATGAAACTATCTTCATTAGAAGTTGGTGGGGGATTAGGAATCTACATATTTAATAAACACTCCCGATGATTCTGAGAAATGTAGTTTACCACACAGGTTGGAATTTTCTGTCACAGGCCATGTAGACTTGATTAAACTTATATTTTAGAATGATTCCTCTTATGCTATTGTATTCAATATTAGCTAACCATTGGAATTGTTAAGGATGGTATTTAACATTATAATTTAAAAAATTCCTTAGGTGATTTCAGTGTTCAACCAAGATTGCAAAAGCACTAATCTACCCGCACTCTCTAGGACAGATATTAAAATGGTAAAATTGGAACTAGAGAACTAAGTTATTGTTGCAGTACAGGCAAGAAGGATGAGGACATGAACAAAAGCAACAGTCACAGAGCCAGAGATGTGGAGGGTAACTGAATGTTAAGGCCAATTCATTTAAGACTTAGTGATTGGTTATATATTGGAGTGAGGGGTGGGTGATATTAATAATTACTTCTAAGTTTCTGAGCTGCAGTTTGGGTAGTGGACTTATTAGTCACAAAGATGAGAACAAGGGGAGGAGAAATAAATCTGAAAGGAAACTGCCATGGAGGGAGAATTAACTTAAAAATATTGTTACTTTTAGTGTTGGTTCTCAGATCTTAGTGTAAAAAATCACCCAAGGAGCTTGTTAAAAATAACTATTATATTTAGTGAAACAAGCCAGTCCCAAAAAGAAAAATACCATATGTTTCCCCTTATCTGTAGTAACTAATAGAGTACAAAAAATGTAATGCATGATTATTTGCATTGCAATCTGCATACAATTATTCCTGCTTAAACTGTTGAGAGGAAATGGCTTAAAGTTTAAATGAAATTAATTATTATCTTGCAACAGCACAGGATATATTTAGATGTTACATTGTCATTGGTTCTATTTCATTGAAAGAAATTATTATGACTAATTGACAAAAAAAAAACCTGTATGTGGGTGAAATGGACATTTTCCATTCAATTAACGTTTATAGCCATTGTGTATATTTCCCATTAAACTGGGGTCTTTTTTCTTTTTACTTGTGTTAAACTTCTATTTGGTGAAGTATTAAGCCTTTTTACTGCAATAAAATTTAAAATGTTATCTCAAAAACTAGAAAAAAGAAGGTAGAAGGAAAGAGTGTGGGAGGGAGGGAGGGAGGAAGTGAATATCATGTTCTTAGACTTGAATCTATAAATCATATTGAATCTGTTAAAATTTAATTAAAATTAAAATTAAGAATGAAATAAAAAAATAATATAAATTCTTATTCCCTCCTCCCCTTTTTTAAGGACTTGGAATGGGACCCAATGGTCTGCTTTTTTCATTCATTTTTTGAACAGTCCAGTACAGTATTTAAGCTTTTGTTAAGTGTACTGAGAAAATTTAAAAAGCTGAAAGCAAACTGAAAATTGCACTAAAAGTTTACTGCATGCCTATAAACGGACAAGTGATTCTTAAAAGTCTGATGTTGAGAGACACTTAACACTTCTTTACAAAGATATATGACATTCATAGCATAACAGAAAATTAATGTACAATTGAAATAATGAGGGCTTATGTTTCCAAGTGATCACTTTAATGAGACAATTATATTGTTATAATTAAAAGAAACCAATGCAAATGGAGAATATGTAGAACCATTTCAGTAAATGTCTCATATTTCATAACTGTCCATTCATTTCATCTTGAGGAATTTCAGAATCTCTTTGTTCTCCTTTGCCTCATGAAACATTTGATAATCCTAAAAAAACAAAAGTAGCTTGCTGGTAATCATTGTCGGTAATTCCCAGTTATGAAGTCATTAAACTCAAGGGTCCAGGTTAATCTTGCTAATTTTCTTGTGCAGGCCTTTACAAAACTCGGCTAGCTACATTAGATGAATCTTTCTCCATGAATACAAGTTACTTTATATTATAATGTAGGATGAAAAATATTTCATAAGCATATTCAAACAAGCAGCAGAATATTCTTTTATGATGACCTTTTCCTCATAAAGTACGCTTTGTCTTATCTTCTGGAATATAATTAAATTATTTTATTAATGGGTAAACCTGGCCAGCATACCTTATAAATGAATTATTTCCCCATCTATATGACCTTAAGATATGAAATGAAAACAAAATGGACATTTAGTCTTACCCCACAATATTCTTGGCCATTGAATATCTGAGGTGGTAGAGCTGCAGGAGTAGAAGTCTTCATCCTCATTTCTTGAAGCATTTGGTAACTCACAGAAATGTCTATCAATTCATACTTTATTTTGTAAGCATCCAAAATTCTTGTAACTTCTTCCTGTCTCTGCTTCACCTAGATAGACACAGAAAAATAGTAATCAATCAGGCACAATGTTTTTTTTAGTTTTTTTTTTTTCATTTTCCTTGTCCATTTTGTTATGGAAGAATAGCTTTTAATGGTATGAAGTTTTATTGAGTAACAAAAGGTAATTTTCTTGTGAAATCATATATATATATTTATATATACATATATATGTACATAAATATGAAAAACTACAGTAAAGTCAGTGGTGGCCAAAACCACCTAATGGATTATATTTACCAGATTGATTTCATACTGCACTTGAAGTGTTAAGATATTGTTCTGGGGCCAGCATTGTGGCCTAGCTGGTAAAGCTTCCACCTGCAGTGCCAGCATCCCATATGGGCGCTGGTTCAAGTCTCAGCTACTCCACTTCAGCTCCAGCTCTCTGCTATGGCCTGGGGAAGCAGTAGAAGGTGGCCCAAGTCCTTGGTCCCCTGAACCTGCGTGGGAGACCCGGAAGAAGCTCCTGGCTCCTGGCTTCAGATTGGCTCAACTCTGGCCATTGCAGTCATTTAGGGAGTGAACCAGCAGATGGAAGATCTCTCTCTCTCTCTCATTCTCTCTCTCTCTCTCCCTCTCTCTCTCTCTCTGCAGCTCTGTCTTTCAATGAAATAAATAAATCTTAGAAGAAAAAAGACATTGTTCTAACAGTTGAGGCAGCAGTTTGCATTCATTAGTGCATTAATTTATACTTATATGTATGGCAAGTCTGTGGAGGAAATGTACATTATACAAAGTTTTTCAATCTTAAGAAAACTTAAGTTCCATTCATAGAGACTAAATCAGAGAGAAAGACCACAGGCTAAAAAAAATTAATAAATAAACCAGGGGAATTAAGATTTACAAATATGTATGTGGATAAAAATGGCCTGTTCTTGCTATGTCCTTGCATATGAACTGTTAGATATGTATCTTCCACTAACAGGCTGTATTTCTTCCATTGTCTTTTCTCCTGAAAGATGCAATGCCGCCTAAAACTACGGTGGTTATCTTTTAAATATGTTTTATCTCCACAGATACTTAAATAACTAAACATAAATGTTAGGTAAATGTTGAGGTTTATAGGTTTTCACATAACTTCCTTGAGCAGTTATATCAAATAAATTCTCTCATGCTAGAATGAGAAAATGTATGTGAAAGCAATTTGATAAGTACAAACCCCAGCTTACGGAAGTGGAATTTCTGTGAAAGTGCACATAAGTAGGCTTTTTGTTTAATGATTTGAAAATGTAATCCAGTCATGCATAGAAAACTCTGCCTGTTTCCAATGGGTAACTGAGAAATTTCTGCAATTCCAAAATACAGAATTTCCACTTTCTGAGGCTTGTTAAGTTTTTTTAATTGGAAAACTGTGTTGCATGTAACTTAAAGTGCCTTTTTGCAGTAGTTTTGTAAAACCCTTTCAGGGAAACTGTTGCTTACATCTATGCTATTACATGTGTGATTCACAGACTGGCACCATCAGCATCATTTCACCTCAGATCTACAAAATCAGACTCCTGGTTGGCGAGTCTCAAGATTCTGTTTTGACAAGCCCTTTAGATGATTTTTATGTCACAGTTTGAAGGTCATGGGCCTGAGGGAGGCCTATGCTGTGGTTTAATAGGCTAAGCCTCTGCCTGCAGCCCCAGCATCCGATATGGCTGCTGGTTTGTATCCCAACTGCTCCACTTCTGATCCAGCACCCTGCTTATGACCTGGGAAAGCAGTAGAAGATTCCCCAAGTGCTTGGGGCCCTGCACCCAACGTGGGAGACTGGGAAGAAGCTCCTGGCTCGTGGCTCCTGGCTTCAGCCTACCCCAGCCCCGGCCATTGCAGCCAACTGGAGAGTGAAGCAACAGACAGAAGAACTTTTTTGTCTCTACCTCTCTTTGTCTGTAACTCTACCTCTCAAATAAATACATAAAATATTTTTTCTAAAAAAGAAAGTCATGGGTCAATAATTGGATAAGTTCCCTGTTGCATCAATTGTGATTCTTGCTTATTCCAAATAATTCCCTCTCAGAGACTCTTAGTATCATACCTAATAATATAAATTGCAATGTTAAAAATATTCAACTAGTCAAATGGCCCCTAATTTCCTTTTTAAAAAACATTTCCTCTTACTGCTGTATCTTAATAAACAGGTGAAATCACTAGTCTACTCAACCAGGCTTTATGCAAAAGCAATACTTTTTCTAGGCTGAGATAAAAATCTCAGTCCTTCCTTTCTGAAGTCATCAAGGTATCTGACACACAGCTGGAGGGTAATGAATGTTGTCCACATTTATAATCAATTGCAGGTCCCCCTGTTTTCATGCTTCTTCAAAACCCTGCAGAAAAAGGTTCATAAACAAATAATGATCTTTCTATAACTGTGCTATCCAATGTGATAATCACTAGTCATATGTGACTATCGTACACTTGAAATGTGGCTAGTACCAAATGAGATGTACTATATGCACATAATGTATATGGGATTTTGAAGAATGTATAACATCTATTTTATACTTATTGCATGTTATAATGATAATATTTTGAATATTTTGCATTAAATAAAACAAAATTAAATTCATCTCTTTATTAAATGGCTACTAAAATTTTTAGTTTATTTTTAAAGATTTATTTATTTATTTGAAAGGCAGTGTG